CTGTCCTCTTCAATCAAATCCTGGGAAGAAAGAGACCACTGATTCTTTCTCAACAGTTGTCCTCAGCTATCATCAGACAGGACAGCAGTCCACTTGTATGAATAGAATAGGAGGAGGGAGAGAGGGTTTATTATGAATGAATCCCTTTCCTCCTCATCTAAAAGGGCTATTCATGTGGAAGGGGGTCAGAAACAGGATTACATGAATTATTTCCTCTTCCAAACCACAAGATAATTAACTACTTAATAATAAATAAAGCCATAATCAAGTGCCATTGTTTGGCAAACAAACAATATAAAATAAACTTGCCCTAATAACTGAATATTGCAATTCATCCAATAGCAATGACAACACTGAAAGTGATATATATATATATAGAGGACAATCCACTAATAATGAGTGGGGCATAAATATCCCAGAAAATAAGTCACAGAGATGTTCAGCGTGTTCTGAAGGTTACTTGTCAAAGCATGGAACACAGTGTTAGTCTGCTAAAGGCAGGGTCATTACATACTTTGCAACACAGACACAAGCAACGCTAAAACTAGTACACAGGAGTTGCCCTGAAGTTCCTGTCGCTGTTCTCCTGTCCCAAACCACAGCATTTAGGGGTACAACAAATGACCTTTAATTCCTTTACGAATCACCATCACACAGTCCACCACTGTAAAATCCGCACACCGACTGGCAATTTAAACAGACGGGGAGGAGGGCCCTGCTGCTTCCAAACTAGAGGATTCGTGCTAGCCCATATGGCCTAGGGAGGTGGTTTTCCGGAGGATAAGATCAGGAAGGAATAAAGAGGAAGGGCTGGGATACATGGCCTAGTCTGGCTCACGAGTTCCCGATCTAAGCCATAGCTCAGGACACTAGAACACGAGGAATCACCAGGGGAGCAGCTCTGATTCTAGATCATGGAATGTTATGTATCGCAACAGGATACAACGTACAACACTGGAGAAGCAGCCTCATGGTTCTTACCTGTGTGCCCCCAGACCCGTCACATAAGTTACTTGTCCCTGAGAAAGGAGATCCAGATGATAAGGAGTAGGGAATCTCTTCCTCTCTCTCACACCAGTAGGGATCTAGAAGCCATAGGAAGTGCGGTTCTGCTGCAGCCACTCCATGTTCCCGATGAATCCCTGGCCCGTGCACTTTGATCTCTTTCCTCCTCCTCCAGAAATCAGAGGCTGACACATCCAGGGTCCGGTCCTGCAGCCTGATCTCTCCCACCCTCCCAGCACACAGGCTCACATATCTAGGGGGCGGGGATGAGAGCAGGAAAGCAGATGAATCACTGAAAGGGTACACGGGCTGCAGGCACACTCAGGAGCAAGTGGTGGCACAGTGCAAACTTGCCGGCTCTTAGTATTGGTGTGAGTGGAAGGTGCAGATCCTCCTCCTCTTTTCCCTGTGCGTGGTTTGCTCCCAGCTCTGTGTGGGAAGAGGAGGAGGGGCAGCTGAGCTAAATAAAAGCATACCATGCAACATGGCTGCCTCTATCACATTGGAAAATACATGTGAATTAGTGTAGAAAGAGAGAAAGATTCTTTAACAATGGAAACCGTAGCCACAAATGAATTCTGAGTCGCTATTTTATCTTAATATGACCTGCTCTTCGTTTATAGATATAGCACACAATGTTAAATCATTCTGTAAAAATTAGTCCATTTAAAGGAAAACCACTGCTTCTCTGGAAATTACACCTCCGAGTAAACATTTAAATCCACCTATAACTTGTGTTAACATTTTCTTCATATGTTGTTTTGTTTAAAGATTTATCAATTAACGTCTTGTTATTCCAAGCACAGCCAGGGCACACATTGTATTGGGAGATGAGAAATAGAAACATGGCAGGGGTCACTGATGGAATGTGCCTGCTAGTCCCTCTGGTTTCCAATCTGATTTCCTCAAATTTAGTACTTGGCTAAATTAAGAACTTAGCATTAAGCTGTAGTTGTTCTGGTGCCTATAGTGTCCCTTTATATTAAATTAAAACAAACAATTGATAATGTGCATGTCTATCAGTGAGTATGTTTGCCAGTTTGTCTGTCAGTGAGTGTGTCTGTTTAGGTGACCGGCACCCTGCCGATCCCATGGGAAAGGTGTTTTTGCTCACCTTTTTTCCCATGCCATGCCGGTCTCGCAAAGGCTGACCCTGCCTCCATTGCTGAGATCATCAATATTGATGATCTCAGCCAATCTAATGTTTTCCCATATGTAAGCATTGGGAGGCTATTGCACATGCACAATAAAACATGGCTCTGTGCCAATCCGAATCTCATTGAAACAGTACAGTGCTGTGGGGAACATTCAGCGCCTCCATGGAGAGCATGGAGACGCTGAATGCCAGAATGAAGTACTTCAAGGGGTCTTCTGAGTGAGCCACTTGAGTTGTTCCTAGGCAGTAATGTGCACATTGCCTTTTTTCTGAAAAGACCGTGTTTACATTAAAAGGCCTGCAGGGCTATAGACACCAGAACCACTACATTTAGCTTTAGTGGTTCTGGTGAACCTTTAATTTTGCCTGTGCTGTGCACAATAGTGCATCTTGGGAGCAGCGTGGTGTTGATTATGGGGATGTCTGCCAGGCGGAGAGGCTGTGCTCAGGGCTGCCACTTGGAATAACAGGGCCCCAGGACTAGAATCAAAGAAGGACCCTTATGCTCTCACTGGTATACATACACTGACACATATATCAACACAGTCATTGGCAAACACACTTGCAATTATGGAAACATGCTCTCACTAATACACATACACTGTCAGTGTATGTCAAAAACACAATCATTGGCGCACACAATCTTTAACCAAAACACTTTCACTGACAGACACACACTCACTAATAGTGATGTCGCGAACCCGAAATTTTCGGTTCGCGAACGGCGAACGCGAACTTCCGCAAATGTTCGCGAACCGGCGAACCGCCCGAAACGCCATTGACTTCAATGGGGAGGCGAATTTTAAAACACACAGGGACTCTTTCTGGCCACAATAGGGATGGAAAAGTTGTTTCAAGGGGACTAACACCTGGACTGTGGCATGCCGGAGGGATCCATGGCAAAACTCCCATGGAAAATTCAGTTGATACAGAGTCTGGTTTTAATCCCTTTCACATCGTTTAGTGATGCTGGGGCCTCAGTGATGTCATATTCTGTCTCCCAGTATCACCACAGAGGGTGCACAAGGGAGCAACGAGGAAAAGCGGGAACATCAGTACTCCCTTTCTGCCCATGCCCAGCCCTCCCTGGATACACTGTATTTCAGCAGCATAGGGACATTCCATTCAGGTAAGCAGGTGCCTACACAGACACACAGATATACACACTTACACACAGCTATACACACACACATACCCATACACACAATCTAACATACATGCACATACAGTGAGGGGGAAAAACGTTTTGAACGTTTGTCCACTGACAAAGAAGTGATCAGACTATAATTTTAATGGTAGGTGTATTTTAACACTGAGAGACAGAATAACAAAAAAAAAAAATTTAAAAATCCAGAAAAACGCATGTCAAAAATGTTATAAATTGGTTTGCATGTCAATGAGTGAAATAAGTATTTGACCCCTTCGACTTATTACTTGGTGGCAAAACCCTTGTTGGCAATCACAGAAGTCAGATGTTTCTTGTAGTTGGACACCAGGTTTGCACACATCTTAGGAGGGATTTTGTACCACTCCTCTTTCAGATCCTCTCCTATTGTAACATATTCAAACTCACATAGCGGTGTTTGCACTCAGCAGCCATGAGTCTGTGTACCTGACTCCTGCAACATGTTGATGGACACTGGCTGTTGCAGATCCATGCCAAATTATAGCCCTACGTCCGCCTACATTGATGACAACATCGGCGTGCGTGTGACGTCACGCTGGAGGCGCGCACACACGTTCTAGGGTCAAAGGGCACGTTCATTGCCCTGTCGTGGTTTCCCTTAGTGGTTGTCCGAGAGTGTGTTCCTGAGAGTTTACTTCTGGTTATTGACTTTGGCTTTGTTGTGACTTTCCTGTATTCTGGTATCCCTGACTTTCGTTTTTCCTTATCGTTGTGTCCCATTCTGTCTCCCTGACCTCGGCAAGTATTCTGACTATTCTTTGGTACCAGAGGCTGCTCTCTAATTATGCGATTTAGGCGGCCGCCTAAGGCCTCGAGCTGATTGGGGCCTCGCGGCCGCCTAAATCGCCTTAGGGCAGTGTGACAGATCGAGGGGGCCCGGCGGCTTGCCCTTTATGCCGCCGTGTGCGAGGCCCCTCCTCCGCCTGCCCGGGAGAGAGCCAGCCTGTCTGCAGCAAAGCTGAGCGCAGAGCTGCAGACTGACGGGGTCTCTCGATCTCACCCAATCAGAGCGTTGCCGCGGGTTACCACGGCAACGCTCTGACTGGCTGAGATCGCGAGACTAAACTTCCCACGTGGTCTGCAGCTCTGCACCCGGCGGAGCTGCAGACCATAAAGGGAGACCACCGGACCACCAGGGATACAGCCTGGCCGCCCACTGGACCACCAGGGAATAAGTTAATCCTAAGGTATTTATGCCCTGCCCTACCACCCTCTGCCCCAGCCACCCCACCACTACTGCCCCAGCCACCCTCTGCCCCAGCCACCC